CCCGCTGACCGGCGTTAGACACGTAGCAAGAGCCCAAGTCCAGCTTCGTTGTTTTTAAGCCGCAGCGTGTGGGGGTGTCTGTGACCGCAGCGTACTTGCTTCACCCTCACAGACACACAGCTCCGTGGTGCTGCTACGGATTCGCCGCTCTCGTTTTTCTGAGAATGGTCCCTAATGACAGGATCCATGTTTCATGTTGACTACCAGGCAATGCATGATGCGTGACCAAAACCTAGCATGTCGCCGGGCTTAGAATGTCTGTTCAACGACAGAATGAAAACTCCACGAGGAAATGAGTCCAAAAAAACAATGTAAATGATGGATCTTGAACTGGGGAGATAAATCTGACCCGTGAGCGGATAATGACAGTCCGCCCTCTGGGGGTGGATGAACAGGGCACACAGGCTCTTAACTCGTAACCCAAAAACCCACCCAAGTAACTATGAACTATTGCTTCTTAAAGGCAAGGCAAAGAGGTCCAGAGCACTTAGGTGAATCACCCAAGGTCACAGCCAACCTGACTCCAAAGCCAGGGATGGTTCCCTGCCTGCCCGGGCGCTCGCACTCCAGTGCAGGAGCCCCAGGGGGAAGCCCATGCCCTCGCTGCTCACCTGCCCCTCCCGGTCAAGCACGCTCAGGCAAAAGCCCAAAGGTGAGACGAGCAAACACGTACCAAATGTCAATATAGCGTCGGCCTTCAGATGCCTTTTTGAGAATGTGGAAGCCAAAGGCATCAGGAAGCCTGCAGTAAAAAGAGCGCTGAGCTGGAGCACTGAGCAGGTTACAGGGAGTCCTACGCTCCAATCCTGCCAACTGATCACCTCTCTGCGCCTCAGTTTCTCCTGTTGGTATAGCAGACAGGCTGGACAAATTCACCCTTAGGACCTGTTCCAGCTCTGAAGTTCTACAGTTCCTGTAAACATACCTCTGGCTGATAAAGGAAAGAAAGTCGAACCCTTTTAAGAAAATCGCTAAAGCCCTAAAATTACGCGAGAGCCTTTGAGATCCGTGAAAGAAAAGCATTTGCTAAATCCCCTCTATTATTTCCAAAGGATATTTTCTATTATTATTATTTACCAAAGGAATTTCTGGACAGAGTTTAAGTGCCTCAGAGCCTACTAAATAACCATCTCTTCGAAACATAACAAAAGGTTCTGAATATTCTTGGCTGATGACTTTTTCTTTGAAACATGTTCTCCACTGAACAAAAGATTTTCTTCTTTTTCCCAATTTTTCTGAATTTAAGTGAAACACACACACAAAACCTCATCATGATTACCAACTTAAAATACTTTTTAAGTTAGCCAAAGAGCCTAAGAACACATTTATAATATCGATGATTCTCATTTCGGACATTCTCAGTATGATCCACTATCCTAGGAACTGGTTATTAGGAAGAAGACAAAAATGGGATGCATTTATCCAGAATGATGAGCCAGGCTCTGTGCCAAGAGCTTCACATTCATTCTCTTACTTAGACCTCTGCATAACCCAGGGAGATGGGGAAACTGAGTCTAAGAGACATTTAGTCTAGGCTGATCTAAGATCAGGCAGCTGGTAGGAGCTGAAGTTGGGTTCAAACAGGGGTCTCACGGACTCCAGAGTCCATGCTTTTAACCATCAGGCTATGTTCACTCCCATGCAATGTCTCATTGAATCCTGACGCTCAGCCTACAAGGCAAGGAGCCCCATTTTACAGATGAGGAAACTGGGAATGGGCCAGATCAAGTCACTGGTCCATTGTCACTCAGAGTGAGTGTCTATCAGGGAAGCCAGGATTCAAATTCTAGTCCATCAAAGTGGACAGCCCTTTGCCTGACTCCACACTCTTTCTGGGTAACACAAGCCTCAAGACGCATGTTCTTCTTGGCTGGGCCTACCTTGTGGCCCAAACACTGCTAATGCCAACTCCCAGAACTTCCAAGTCTTCAATGAATCGAAGAAAAAAGGAATTCTTTGCAATGCCAGTAAACATGTGTGGCCAAAGGAACTTTTAAATATCTGGAGCCAAGGTGGAGAGCTCTGCATTTGGTGGGCATTGCAGCAATGCCTACTTTTGCCCAGAGACCTAGGCCCTATCAATAATTCCACTGTGGGCAGCTGCTCGCAAAAGTTAACAACTCGACCCATAAAAACGTACGGCAAGTTGCAACTTGGCACTAGCCGCCTCAGACTGGGAGAGAAGCTAGCGTTTGCAAAATATGGTTCAAATAATCCCGCCTCCCCCCTTTTTTTTCTTCTTTAGTTTTAAGAGTGCAAGAAACATAGAAGTTTTGTGGTTTCACACTGGTCTTTTTATGGTTCAAAAGACTCCAAAACAGAGTTGATTAAAAAAATGCCTCTGCATAATGCCGACCATTGTGTGGGCATTTCCAAGGAAGCATGCCATCCGGTGCTGGGACTTTGGAGACTTGGATGTTCTTCATTGGCTTAAATAAAAGGTTTTGTTCTCAAACAAAAGGGACATCCTGACTCAACAACTGTTTGTGTTTTGACCTCTGCACCCAAATCCCAAATCTGCCCACAAGAGGCAATTTGATACAAGAGAATGAGCATGGACTTTGGATCCAGCCAGGAAAACTTAATGCCTAGCTCAGTTTCTTCCTAGCATTAGGACTCTGTGAATCTTAGGAATCTCAGAGGATCCTCTCTCCTCATCTCTATAATGGACACAGTAAGTTCTACCTTAGGGTTGTTGAAAAACTTGAAAGAGATGATGTATGTAAAGTACAAAGTAGATTCACCCATGCCTTCAAAAAATAATTGTTGAGTACCTACTAAGTGCCAAGCATTATTTTTAATATTGGAAAATCAACAGTGAACAAGGCAGACCCAGATGCTGCCCTAATATAGCTCACATTCTTGTTGGTGTGAGACCATAAATGAGTAAAGACATAAATGAGATCATATTTGATAATGAAGGCTTAAAGAGCTGAGGGTACTGCAGTAGAGAGTGATGGGGGGAGGGGCTGGGCTACTTCAGCAAGGGTAACCAGTGAGGGCCTCTCTGAGGAGTTGGCACTTGAACTGAAGCTGAGCGGTATGAAAGAGACATCCATGGAAAGATGGCTGGGGCAAAGTATTTCAGATGAAAGGATCAGCATGTGCAAAGGCCCTGGGGCAGAATGAGATGTCCAGGCTAGAACATGTGAGCTAGCAAGGAGTAGAGGAGGAGAGGCTACAAGGGAACACAACAGCCAGATCAGGGGATGCCTTGAAGGTCACAACAAGAGGTTGTTTTGGGCTTTATTCTAAGTTCAATGGGAAGCCATCTGTAGGTTTTAAGCAGTGAAATTACAGGATTAATTTCCATCCTGACTCTGCTAGATGGGGACAGAATCACAGTAAGATATTCAGGAAAAGAAGAAGACCAGCCAAGACACTTTCTCAGTCTAGCCAAAGATAATGAACTACCATGGCCACAATGGAGATGGAGAGAAGCATATTAATCTGGGAATACAACTTGTCGATGAAATTAGATGGAATCTGGAGAAAAGAAGTTTAACCTTTACAAGCTGGATAAAGGAGTGTGGGAAGTGTGGCCAGTGAGATGGGAAGAAACCAGGAGAGTGCAATGTCCTGGAAACATAGCAGAGAAAGAATTTGGTAAAGAAGGGAAAGCCAGCTGAGCCAAGTGAGCAAGAAGAGGACAGAGAACAGCCTATTGGATTTGGCCAGATGAAGATCACATGGGTGACTTTGATTGATACACACCATTTCTGTGAAGGAGTTGGGAAGGCAGAGACTGAAAATAAGTTCAATACATGCAAGGTATTTTTAAAATTCCTCCTTTAGGAATGGAAATTGGGCACCTCATACCTTATCTATGGAGACTTAGACATTTCTTTCATGATAATAAAAATATCCATAATAATAGCAACTCATGAGCCTCAGATGTCCAGTCAGTATGGTAGACTGAGCAGACACTGGAAGACTATCCACCCCACCTACCCCCAGTCCAAACAAATAAAAATGTTGGATACAGTGTAACAATAAATTATTTAAGTACAAAATTAATTTCAAAAGTACAGAAAGGAAAATCTCCAGGAGCTCAAAATGAAAATAAAACCCAAACCAGAGTAGTTGATAAAAGCTGAAGACAAAAATCTCACAAGATATTGGAAGTGGTTATAGGAGCTAAAGTCTAGGGGAAGAACAAGACTTCAGGCTTAAGTGAGGAGAGTATGCCTCTGAGTCCCTTCATAAAGCCAGGAGCCATGAAGCATGACATGCCCATGAAACTCCAAGCTGAAATGTTATAAAAATTTGTCCAGAACCGATAAAACTCACAGGATCCTGAGTAGCTCCCCATGTGAATCTACTCAGAAGGGATCCCTCCAAAACTCAAGAGAACAAGACTCCTATGAAAGCCTCGCCCCTTCAAGATGAGCTCACAACAAAAAATTACAATCCACAGGAACAAAAAAACCACCCTGAGGTCTAGTAACAATCAAAAGACATAGCAAATGAGAGAAATTCACCTTAAGAACTAGAAATAAAAGAAAAAATAAAAGAACTGAGGGTTTTAGAGGGGAGGGGGGTGGGGGGATGAGTTAGCCCGGTGATGGGTATTAAGGAGGGCACGTATTGAATGGAGCACTGAGTGTTATACACAAACAAGGAATCATGGAACACTACGTCAAAAACTAATGATGTAATGTATGGTGACTAACATAACATAATAAAATAAAATTTAAAAAAAGAAACTTTAAACACATGTAAAATCTTCAAAGAGAAATAGGAAAAAATACATACAAAAACAAGATTGAATGTCAAAGCAAAGGCACATCTGAAAAGAACTAAATGGAGATTCTAAAAATGAAAAATACACTCATTAAGGTAGAAAAGATAAATAGGTTAAGTAGAAGAATAGATACACTGAAGCAAAAATACTGAACTCTAAAACAGACATTTGGAAATCACACAGAATGCAGAAAAAATAAATAAGTGGATAATATGAAAGAGTAATTTAAGATCTGCCTAACAGAAAGGGAGCTCCTGTGCTCACTCTGGCAGCACATAGACTAAAATTAGAATGATACAGAGAAGATTAACATGGCCCCTACACAAGGATGAGATGCAAATTCATGAAGTGTTTCATATTTTTAAAAAAAGAAAAAAAGAGTAGCTCCAATATAGTAAGTTGAACTCTCTTTGTAGGTCTAAAATGGTTGACTATCAGCAATTTCATACAGTTTTACCTACAGTGTCTAATATAAGTGGTGGAAAGGAAAACAATAAAGAATGTGGGAGGGGCTCCTGGGTGGCTCAGTCAGTTAAGCATCCCAACTCTTGGTTTCGGCTCAGGTCATGGTCTCGGGGTCTTGAGATCAAGCCCCACATTGGGCTCTACGCTGGGTGAAGAGTTTGCTTGAGATTCTTTCCCCTCCCTCTCCCATCTCCTCTGTTCCTCCCTCTGCTTGCACTCTCTCTCTCTCCAAAAATAAATAAAATAAAATCTTAAAAAAAAAAAAAAGAATGTGGGAAAGAGACAATGTTTAGAGAGCTGACAGCTGAGAATTTTGCAGAATTAAAAAAACATGAGTCCTCATATTGACTCAAAACAATAGAAATAAAGTGTAGTGGACCTATCAAACATCAAAGACAAAGGAGGAAAGCTTAAAAATGACTAGAGAGAAAAGAAAGGAAGGACTGAATGATAGTTGAATGATAGCAGACCTCTTCCCATTCCTTTTCAAGTCCAGAAGACAATGAAACAATCTTATAAAGACTTACAGAAAATGATAAGCCCACCACTCAAGTGAGAGCTGTAAAGGACATATTCAGATACACACGGAAAAGGACAAACACATCACCCACAGACTCTTAACTAAGAAAAGTGCTACAACGAGAAAGCGAAGTCAGAAAGAAGGAGGGGAGTGCACAAAGCAGTGTGAGTCTACAAATTGGTAAATAGTTGGAAATCCAAATAAATATCAACTGAAAGGAAGTGAGAATGACTAAAGGAAGAGTAAAAATAGGGTAGAACTAAAATATTAAACAACACTAATATTCTTTAAAAAAGGGAAGAGTTCAGAATTTAAAGCATTTTCTAAGGTCACTGAGTAGTTAAGGCAGACGATACAGAGACCTGCAGATTTTGCTAAATATTCACCTTAAAATTTGAGGACAACTGCTAAAAATATAAATGTAGAATGTATTTCTTCGAAACCTGTAGTTACAAAAAATAAGATCAACCCTACAGACAGGGCTAGACACTTTTTCTATAAAGGGCCAGATAGTAAATATTTTCAACTTTGTACGGTTCCTGTCAAAACAATTCGACTCTGCAGCCATGGACCATCTGTAAGTCAATGAGCATAACTCTGCAGCCATGGACCATCTGTAAGTCAATGAGCATAACTATGTTCCAATAAAGTTTTATTTACAAAACAGGTGACAGGCCAGGTTTGATTTGAAGACCATAATTTGCCACCTTTGCAAATGAAAGGACAAAAGAGAATAATCAAGAAAATGTATATATGTAAAAAACAAAAAAAAATAAGTCCATGAGGAATCACAATAAAAGTAAATGCATTAAATTTATCTATTAGAATATCCACATTGCAGAATGATACAGTGTGATGCCATGTATATACAGGTTTAAAACAGAACAACACCATCTACCATTTACGGATACACTCATGTGTAGTAAAGGAAAGAAAGGATGCATCCAATTCCAGAGAGTGTTGCCTCAGGCAGGAAGTGAGAAAAATAGATTTGGAGAAGGGTACAATGGAGAGTCAATATAACTGTCAAAGATTTTGTTTCCAGGGGGCGCCTGGGTGGCTCAGTCGTTAAGCGTCTGCCTTCGGCTCAGGTCATGATCCCAGGGTCCTGGGATCGAGCCCCGCATCGGGCTCCCTGCTTGGCGGGAAGCCTGCTTCTCTCTCTCGCACTCTCTCTGCTTGTGTTCCTGCTCTCGCTATCTCTCTCTGTCAAATAAATTAATAAATTAATAAATTAAATAAAAATCTTTAATAAAAAAATAAAAATAATTTTAAAAATAATTAAAAAAAAGATTGTGTTTCCAAAACAAACCAAAAAGCCAAAGCCAGTTTAGCAAAACATTAATATTTGTTAATTCTAGGTAGTGGGTACATGGGCATTACATTACTCTTCATATTTTTAAGTTCGAAAAGTGTCTTTTTTAAGCACTCATATCTCATTCAAACCATAGCAATCATTAGGAGAAGAGTATTACAAACTATATTTCCAGATGAGGAATTTGAAGTTCCACACAGGCCCAGAGACTTGGAAAAAATGAGACCATAATCTTCCAAATCAATTAAATGCACTCTAGATACTGCATGACATTTCTGGGAACTTGAAGACATCTATTTTGCAAACACCCTGTCTCTATGATCCCTGGGACCCCCATCTTTACCAGATACTTATTCTCTTCCAACCAATGCTCCTGCCTCACCCCCTTCCCACCCATCCTCTGCTCTCTAGACATTTATGGTGCGAAAATGCAGCTTGAATCATACCACACTCCACCTCTTCAGTGTCAGTTGTGGGCCTGAGGATATGAAAACAAAGAAGACATAGTTCTCTGTGTGATAATTTCCAACTCAACATCTACCTGGGCAAGCATTAACTTCTCTAAGCCTCCATTTCTTCATCTTTAAAATGGGCATCACCAACCCTACCATACAAGTTACCTAAGGTTTTTTCAAGAATAAAATGAAATCATCTAGTAGATATCTGTCCTTACAGAAAAATACCAAACTCCTGAGCACAGGGCCTCATAGGCTTACCCAGATCACACAGGTCACATTTGAAAAAAAAAAAAAAATGGTGTATTGTCCTGCACACACGTGGCCATCCCCAGAACACCCTAAGCCAATCACACACCCTCTGCAGGCCTCTGCTTCCCAGTCATTAAAGAACAGGTTGGTCCAGACAGTCTCTAAGAATACCTTCAGCTCTGCCATCTTGGGTCACCCACTTGGTTCCCCTGGGACCCATAAAAGCAGAACCTTCAAGGCTTGTCCTATGCAAACATCAGCCCCAGCCATGGTGAAGAACATGGCATCATTAGTATTGCTCATGATAAGTGGGATGTTGAGTTCCTAGAAATGAAAAGGCTTATTTATAGAGGTGTGGGAAAGGGAGCCAGCATTCCTGCTGCTATTACTCCAGCTGCCCACCACATGGGCCCCTGTCAGTTCCTGAATAGGCCAAGTTCCTCCCACCACTGGGCCTTTGCACACACACTGTCCTCTCTTTGTGGAATACTCTTCTCCACCCTTTCACCTAGTTAACGCCTACTCTGCTCTGCCACCAGGTCTCAGCTCAGTCTTCGTTTCGTCAGGAAAGCCCTCCTGGACTTTCCAGACTAGTCAAATTCACTGATTACACATTCTCATGGAGCTCCCTGTATCGGGTCATGTATTACCATGATAATGCTGTGGAACAAAACCTCCCCTAAGCTTCACACAATCACTGCATATTATTCCTATAAGTCTATAAGTCAGCAGGACTGTTCTACCAATCTGAGCCAGACTCAACTGCTCTCAGGTGGGTTCACACTTATATCTGGGGTCAGCTGGTGAGTCAAAGTTGGAGGCTGGTTCAGCTGGTATGACACTGCCATGCTCCACATGGCCTCTCATCCACAACAAGCTCACCTGGGCATGTGCTCATGGTGGTGGCAAGAAGCATGTAAGGCCTCTTGACACATAGATTTGGAATTGGTACAGCATCCCTCTCACTGCACTCCATTGGCCATAGTAAGTCACTGGCCATCCCATAGGCACGGGGTGGAGAAATAGCTTCCACCTCTTAATGGGAGGAAATGAAAAGTCACATTGCACAGGGAAGGTGGGGAGCTGGGACTATTTTTGCAATCAGTGTATCACACTCCATTTTGAAGTACACATCACAATCGTAATTTTCCCTTTTATTCATGTGACTAAACTGTGTAGTGTAAGCAACAAACCTTGGTTGTATTAAACCATTGAGATATTAGGACTATTTGTTATACAACATAACTAACCTATCCTGACTGATACAAATGTTTACAGCTGCCCACAGACCCCAAACCTCCAGCTCTATTCCTAGCCTATAAAGTCAATAGAAATGCATGTTGCTGTGGTTGTTTGGAGGTTAACACTCTGGCCCTAATTGAGATTCTTAGTAGAGTGGGCACTTTTATGTGTCCTGAGCATCTATGGTGTAATTGTATTTCTTCCACACAGAGAGGGTTCTCTAGAAACAGACAGAGGGTAGTGGGAGGGGGATCAGGACTTGGCACAAAAGAATCTTTCACTTGATGGTTTAAGTTCCACACCAGCTATTCATCTCAACAATCATTAACATTCACCTACTATTCCAGGCCTGTGCCAAACCCTAGGCATAGAAAGGGGAGATGCTCACTTAGTGAATAATTGAGTCCAACTCCCTGATTAAACAGATGTTGAGCACAAGACTTTATACCATTTGCTGGGGCAGAGTCATTGACCAGTAATGGCTCCCCCAAAATATGTCCAAATTAAGGATAAATCCACCCAGCCTCCACTGACACAACCATCCATCCATTCATTCAATATCTTGAGCACCTGCTATATGCTATTCCAGAACACCCTGTACTAGTTACTGAGGATATATTGGAGAACAAGAGAAGCCAGAACCCTGCCCTGTGAAGCATTCATTCTGGTGAGGAGTGGACAGAAGTAGACAAGGTTATCCATGATGGTAGACATCAGAATCACTACAAGTGCTTTGGGCCACCCTTCTGCATTTGCATCAGTATCTGTAGGAAGTTATCCAGAAGCTGGTCCCATAGCAGTGTTTAGAAGCACTTAAGGAGTCCTGAGCACCCCTCCCAGAGGAGGAGACCAGCCTCCAAGCCAATATCAAATGTGGTAGGACCCACAAGTCTCAGATGAGCTCCAAGGGGACTACACAGTCTTGCCATGAAGAGACGCTCACCATGTGTTCCCTGTCCCAGCCACGTGCCAACCTACAGGAAAGAAGAGAGCGATGCTGGGATCCCACCACCCTTGGGGGCTCTACCCAAGCCTTCCACGTAGACCACAGTGAGGAGCTTCTAATAGCATGTTGTAGCTGGTGCGCTCAAGTAGCCACTTGGCTTGAAAAATA